AAATCAATCCACCACTCAAAAAGATACCAAAAATCCTTACACCTACCCACCCAGCACACATCATAAACCCTTACACTTACACCGTATCGAGCGATCCTGCCCATCTCGTCGAGCCAGCGAATCTTCTCCACCTCGGCCAGGTCCGCGGGCACAGCACGGTGCATGACCAGGTACACACGGTACACCACGGCCAGGAGGGCCACCACCACCCCGGCCACCATCACCAGCGCCTTCAGCTTGCTCTGTGGACACCAGGAGAATAATTGGTCGCTTTTAAGGACAAGCAGGCTAACCCAGATTTCGGAGGTTTCCAGAAATCTTGGCCAACACCAAAGGTGGGCATTGCCCTACCTATAGGAGAAGCTTAGTTTCATTTTCATTGGTGTGTATATTTGTTTGGTTATAGAGAAAACTCTCCTTGTCTTATTAAAAAACTGAACAAGGGACAAAAACTTTACTTTCGATTTTCTCAAAACAGTATTTTTCGGGAAAGCCCCCTAGTGTTTAAAAACGACCAATTGTCACGACGTGGTGGAATCAGGCGCTCGTCAATTTTAAGTCGTGTGGAGTTATTGGTATCATCTGAAAGTTTGTCTAGTTGTCTTGCTATCGGTGAAAAAATGTCCAACTATCTTGAATAGAAGTCGAGATATTTAAGACGGAAGAAGGCGAGGTCACCTGCTTTCAAAGGTAAAATTGGCCGCCAAAGTTTGGTAATATCCATAGCTTGAGAGTCCTCGGAAACTGAAAATTTAGGGTGTTTTTTTTGCCTGTAATCAATGCTTAACAGTAAAATTCACACATAATGTTCTTTTTAAATAAACATTAAAGGTATTGAGACCCCAAAAAAGAAGAAAATTAGAAAAAAATTGCTCAACGGCCCCCCAAAATGCCAATGTCTTTTGATTTCATAATTTTGACGAGCACCTCAATTCAACACAATGCCTCTCAAATTTGTTTAGCTTAGTTGTAGTAAGGTTTTACGGCGCTCGCAACTGCATAAGGTCATATGAGCGCCAAGGGGTGGATTTCAAAAGAGAAGTCTAAACGGGGAATCAGGCTACTCTGCTCACCCCTCTGGCTTCAACAGCACAAAGGGCATTTGCATATCAATGCACCCCGGAAATAGCAATTCACAAGAGGAGAAATGACACAAGAGGGTAAAAAACATGCAAAAGAAGTAAAAGAGAGAGAAATGACGATAGGGAGAAGGGAAAAAGATCCGTTCCCCATGTGTTGTTCCAGAACAGTATAAGCATGACATTGATGAATCAGTCCATTTACAATTCTACTGTTCTACTGACCAAAAGAACATGAAAATACCC